GGGGACTACTATAGGGGTTATTTTGGGGGATACTAGGAGTGAAGACAATGGGTCATATGGCGGGATCCTTCTGTATGGTCCCCCCGAGTTGGCCACCAAATGTAGACTCTCAGCAATACTCCCTAAGAAACCCTCATACACTCGCCAAACCACCATTGTGAATAAGCAGCTCTTACTGCCTTTACATAACCCTAATCCCTATACCACCGTATAATCCCAGTGTCCATGTCATCTTCCATGTTTCTTCAATGTCCTCTGTGGGTAATACACCCCTAGACCCAGAACCCCCAATAACCGGTGGAATTCAGGTTTTCTTCCCCACAACGTATTCCGCTTTTTGTTCCCCATACCCCATGTTTCAGGAGGGGAGCTTTCAATGAAGCAGCCTGTATAAGGACTAAATAAGGCCAAAGGGATCACGGAGAGCTACATAGGGAGTAGAGAAGGCTTATATAGAATCCTTACATTGTAACTCCCTTCCTGTAATTGCCTTGAACTATGAACGATCATAATGTCTCCCTATGTAAGCCCCTTAATACCCCTCTAATACTCCCCTATATAACCACCTATATAGAAGTTTACACTACAGCTCACGTGACCCTAAACCTTAAGCCCAAAACCCTAAACCATTAACATGATCTATGGTTCCGACGCGTCTTCAGTGCCCTTAACACTAAACCCCGAGGCCTGCCCTTCGCCATGCCCATTCCATCCAGCCTGACATTTGGGCTTAGGGTTTAGGAGTTTAGGGTCTAGGGTTTAGCGTTTAGGTCGGAATGGGGGTCACCCGTATGTTCCCCACAAATACACTGATCGTTACTCTTTAAGGAGCCCCCAAAAACTCATAGTCAGAATCACTCTTCTGGTAGTAGCCATGATCACAATGATGAGTCAGAGTGGTGGCCCCCTCAACACTTAGAAAACACTTGCGGCAATACTCGTGGTCAGAGGAATACTGGGTTGCTGTTAAGGAACTTAAATTAAGTTAGTATATTGGGGAAACCCTATTATTTACTATATATACCCATTATGGTAACTTAATTTAAGTTCCTTAACAGCAACCCAGTATTCTAAATCAGATCTGCTCCGCTGACTTCAAGCCCAGGCGCG